GCAAGTACTATTCCTATTAAACGTCCTTATGCAAGCAAAAACTGGTTTCATCCAACTCACTTGGTGTTCAGTAAAGGCTAAAATCATTTTTCTAGTTTGACAATTAATTCCATTTTTCAAGAATCCGATTCACTCTACTGTCACACAATACATTTTCCATATCATTCAAAAAGTGAAAGGCTAAATTTAGTTATTTAAATTCGGGATGTGCGATAGACTTACCTCCACGTGGTGAACCCTGGGCAACGTATACTCATACGGCAAAAAAGTCTATTAACCGGCAGTTGACTTCTGACTTCGAACTACCCCCACTGTATGCCATATTCAACCCACTTACACAGTACTCATCTTACCTTTTCTCTGCGCTTTTGTCTGTCTCTGCCACATCTGTAAATCATTATTCTGTCCCCCTCTCGACTTTTTGTCACTTTGATGTTCCTCCTTCTCTCTGTGAAGCCTGAAGTCAGCTAAATGGCTAATGATAACTATCAAAACGCCTGCCATTTGAAATAAATAAATTTATTTAAGTTCAAATAAATGAAAAAAATGCACTCACGTACCTCAAAGAATGTCCTTGTGGAGCCGGACATCAGGCTACCATACTTGACCTTTGACTGCGTGACAAGATCCTCATATGATTGGATGGGATTCGACATTCGCTCAACAGTCAGAAAGGCGGCCAAGTTAGCTGTGTAGGAGCTAACAATTATGAGGGTGAAAAACCACCAGGCGCCTCCCACTATCCGGCCTGACAGGGATCTGATAAAAGAGTGGAAAGATAACTCAGGTTAGAATAGGCACGCGTTGTATGCATTTCCACTGAGCAGATTCCACGGTCTGATGGACATTAACTCCACAACGATTTATAGCCCATAAATTGTCAAATGGGATGTGCGATTGACTTACCTTCATGTGGTGCACTCTGGACAACATATACTCATACGGCAAAAAAAGTCTGTAAATAATCTCGACTTTTTGCCATTTTGATGTTCCTCCTCCTCTCTATGAAGCCTGAAGTCAACTAAAGGGCTAATGATAGCTATCATAAATATAGCCATTTGATGTAAATAAATTGTTACGTTTTAGGTGATATCCACATATTACTCATATACATTTTCGTTAACCTTATAAAATAATGACGTTGTTCACGCATTCACGAAAAATGACCTCCGCTTCTACACAATAGACGTAGCAACATTTTCGGCGCGTTTGCGCGTGTAATTGGCTTGGAAATTGCCAGAAAATTAGGTGCTTTATGAGGCACAGACCAAAAGTTTAAATTCTGTCTCTTACTTAAGCATTTTATGAACAAATTTTCGAAATTTTGGCTAGAATGGACTGTCGAAAAAAACTAAACCCCTTAACTTTACTCGCTCTTGATGAAAACGCTCGTTTTTCTATGTTCGTGCAAAATAGTGCTCTATTTGCGTAGATAAAATCCAATAACTATATAATATAATATAATATCATGATTTGCCCGATAGAAGACATCTATTCAAGTTCAAAAGACATTGTCTACAGTCATATGGAGTTTTTCATAATAATATTGTTTTATCGAGGTTCCTACCAGTTGATTACCATTTTAATATGCGATAAGTTGGAAGGATTTGCAAACATTAAACAAGCTTTTCTTCTAATAATGTTATTTAGCCATCTTGTTTACGAACATATTGATTTCTTTGAGGGCTCTTTCAATCCGACGAAATGAAATTGATTTCACCTTACGATGTCTCCAAACTGTTCAAGATTCGTGCCTACCCAAGAGCGTTCACTCACAGTCATTTAAATACATTTTAAATAGAATCGAAGACAATCAAAAGGCAAGTCTAGTCGTCACTTCAGACACTCTAAATCTTGTCCAATATCTGGGTTGGGTGTGCAGCCAGGCTATAAAGTTATTTTGAGCACGTGACTTGCTGTGAATGTCCCCCTAGACTTCTATGCCTTTTCATGCTTGGTAAGCATATTTCGCCTTCTAAGGCTTTAACCAACGTCTTTTTATCGTGTTATATTGACTTGTAACGTGGCTATAAAAGCAAAAATGGGGATAAAATCAGGTTCTTTTGATCCCGATCTCGTAAAAATAACGAAATACATGATATCGACCAAGGCGTGTGAATTCAGACTTGACCTTATTAATGCTTGCTTTAGCCCTTAACTACATTGATTTTTAAATATTTGACAGCTGATAATTCAAACTTTGTCACATTGTTTTATTTTATTGGATGTGGGTCCAACCTGGGGACGATATCACCTCCTTGTTGAACAAAAGTGGAAAGTGCGAACCAGAAGCTATTGAAGATTGAAAAGATGCTGTCGTAATGAGATGATTTTTCACCAGTGGAGTCTCCACCACCCTGGCCGATTTCCGCGATCTCAGAGTTCGGATCTGAAATTGTTTTCACTTTATTCAATGGCGCTTCCCACTCAGCAGGAGACAGTCGACTCACAAGAAAGAGAACCACAGAAACTCCTAGGTAGGCGAATGATATGCACATCCAAATTTCATTGGAAAGAGGTTCCATGAAAGAGAGAGGATTGGGCAAAGGGCGATCGATTTTCTGGTACATCACGGAGAGACCAAATTCCATGAATGGAGTTGTGAAGTCGACGACGCGTTCACGATCCGACGAGATTGTCAACGGTGCGACTACTATATCTGCCTCCTAAAAATTATATTCCATGTAAGCATTTCCGAAAAGATAAAAAATTTATTCAATATGTAGTTTACAGGCTAGGGATCAGACATACGCCAATCCTAATTATCACCAGAAGCTTCAATCGATTGGAGCCATAAGGAGAATACTTCAAATTGATTGAAAGTTAAGGCGTTTCAACAGTGATGCAGTTGGAAGGTTGAGGAAATTGATATTCGACGATTTCAGTATGATTAGATCCCTATTCTTAAGTGGAATAGTTATATTTTATTTAATTTTGCATAATTCCGCATTTTACAAACTGTTTCTTTGTGATTTAATTGCAAAGAGAAGGCTGAATTGTCCCTATTCTTACAACTATTGCTAATAAGCATACAATATTTTATTATTTTTCCAACAATTTTAAGTTTAATATTCAATAACAGTTGCGAGGACTATCGATCATTTAAATAAATTGAGCAACTTTCTTGGTTATCTTTCTCGATTTCTAATTGGTCATAGATTTAATTATGCTAAACAGTATAAGCATGAATAATAATGAGTGACAATCTTTTAAACTTTTTTCACATGAATGTTCTACTATCTATTGAAGACATATTTGCCCGATTCAACAGCCCCTTGACTAATTTTCCCATTATGACAATTACCTGTACTCGTTAAAATTGCATTAGGGTATATGGTATAAACGTCTGCCTGACATATTTTCTAATATTATTTCTACAGATTTATTGACACATCACCGTTATCTGAAAGGTGTACTTTTCAAACAAAAATGCATTCCGGTGTCCTGTCAATTGTGCTCCCCCTGAATTCCGTTCTAATATATATATACAGTCTCTACCTCTCTCAACCCGTCCAAGTTTCCTCTTGGCAAGAAATGGGACTTTCAACCATCATTCTTGTCTATTTCCCTATCTCCCTACCTCTCTATCCTGCTGTCGCGAGGATGATTGATGGAGAATGGAAAGTAAAGCGAATAAAATTGTTAGGGGGAAAAGTAAAGTTCCAGCCACATTGCATATTGCCAGACGCAGTATTAGACCTCAAAATGCTCACAATTCCCCATCTCCTAACTCTAATTCAATAAGAACTGGAGTATTAATTTTGTTTCTGCAATTGAGTGCAGTAAATTATTATGCAAAAATTCATACGCACTAGAATTGTCATTTTTATCCAACTCAACAATTGGCTAAAAGTGATGTCAAAGAACTAGGCCACTCGGATACAAATCCAGTAGTGTGATTTTATTTGTGACTGTTTGTTCAGTTGCGCCACAGTTTCTCAGGTCCATATGGTCATCGGACTTGATCTGGAGATTGGGGGGGGGGGGGGGGGGGTGGAGTTAAGTTAGTATCCCTCTCTCTCTCTCCTCATAGTGTCATGATATGACCCAATGCTTTAGGTGATCCACCATGCTGAACGTGAACCCGCAAGCCCTGACTGTGAAGGGGTGATTAATGCTCCGCCACAAGGACTCACACACACACCCGTACGTATCGTCTAAAGTGGGACAGAACTAAACATTCCTTAAAAATTGAAATGAAAAGATACATATTCCACTAAATATCAGTAAATAGTAAGTAATGTTACGATCATGCGAATGAAATTTAACAAAAACCCATAAAAGCACCAGGAAATGACAAATATAATGTAAGCCCTTCGTGAATAAATAATGGGCAAACTTAAGCATCGGCTTGAAATATTCTGGTTCTTGTTTCAGATTTCATGGGTGCTCACATCGGATAGGAGAAATTCATGAATGCATCGGAAGTTTATAATTTATCAAAGATGAAATAAAAATATTATAAGTAATTACAAACCCGAAAATGGTAAAATGTAATTTTATTTAATAAAGGAAAGCATGTTGCCTTAATAATTTAACTTGCGTTTTTTCGAAATCAATTTAAGGGAGTCAAAGAAAGTTCCAATTGATAACGCAGCAATTAATTCACACACGAATTCTGTTCCAACGCATTGTTATTCATTCTATTTTTTTGGCAGCCTACTGAACTGAAAACATTTTTTTTCACATCTTCTTGAAATCCAGGCACAGATTATGCCGCAGAGGAAACACACATATTTTTTAGCCGTCCACTAAATCTTTGCGAAATTAACTTCAAAAAACACGCCCCCTCCCCCATTTCCACCATAATTGAATAGTCCCAATGAACTATTTCGGAATATTGTCGTGTTTTGTAAGCATTTCGTATGGCCTCTTAGCGGCAATAGAAGATTGGGTGCGGAACTCTCTTTGGTTTTACTATTAGTGAATAATTACAGTTGTCATCGCTGAATCAGTGGAAGGCTCCAATCCATACTTATCTTTAATGACTCATGAAATCCAGCATTTATTCGTTCTCGTTTGGGAGGAATTAAAGGATATGCAAGGTAGTACATAGTTCAGTCGATTTACAATGGCATAAAACAGTTCCAATTTAAAGCCCGATTATTCATTTCCCACTTTACAACCGCCCCCCAAATACTTTCTAAGTTTAGTTTTTACATATCGAGTTATGAATTCTTAAATCATTATATTCTTTCTTAAGGAAAGCTCCATTTTGAACAAAGGCAAAATTACAGAGACCGTGGAATTGACAGTATTTAATAGGTGTGAGTAATCTAAAAAGGTTGCCAAAGGTGTCTTTAATACAAAAAAATACACCATCGACGAAACGGCATCTGAGAATTAAAAGGAATATACGTATATATATATACTTTATTAAATATGAAGAAGCTATTCCAATTAACGTAAAGAATTGATAGAACTTAAAAAATCTCAGCTGTAGGGGATTAATTTCTCCTGGAGGGGGGGAGGGGTGCGATAGACTCACATCCACGGGGTGAACCCTGAGCAGGGTTTGCTCATACGGCTGACTTCTGACTTCAAACTGCCATGACCCCCAATCGTATATCATATTCGACTCCTACCACCGTACTCCTATTACCTTTGCCTTTCTTTTACATCTGTAAACTATTATTCTGTCCCCCCTCTCGAAGTGTGGCCACTTTGATGTTCCTCCTCCTCTCTGCGAAGTCTGAAGTCAACTAAAGGGCCAATGATAACTAACAAAACGCCTGTCATTTGATATAAATAAATAAACATATTTTTCCTGAGGATAATCGATTACAGCAAGTTGGCTTTCATTCGCAAATCATTCTTGTTAATTCACGGTACACATCATCACTGACAGCTTAAATATTTTTCGAGAGAAGTGTGGTGTCCTGATCTCTGCACTTTAATTGCTGGAAAACAGGTTCCATGCACATATATTTAATACTTAGCTTTCTATCTCAAGTCCTGATCGATTGTAGCCCGGTGACATGCAGTGGGCAGGTATTCCATAACGAGTGACAATAGACTTTCTGCCATAACAGAGTGTTAACCTTACACTTATATTGATTTAAATCATATTGGGCTTATGATCTAGAATTGAACCCGCATAACTGCCTCCTCGTTACAAAAACTGATACTAAAAGCACATTCCTTGAAGAACAGGTCTGTATGATCCAGGAACCGAATTCTAACTTTGATAGAAGTGGATCAATTAAGCGGACAACTCTATAACACTAGAGATTTAACACCTAGAATCAACTTCTGAGGAAGGGGCCAATCTTCACACCTTTTAAATTGAAAAGGTCTCTGATTTTATTGATAGGAAGCCAAAAAAATAAAATAGCCAGGAATTCAAGTTATTTCTATCTTCATTTTGAATTTAAAAACGTAAAAAGATATCTCCCAAATGAATTCTCTATTTCAACGCACTGAGTATTTCATGTCGAGTTAATTGATACGCACTTTAGGAAAGATCAAATATTTTTTATTTTGCGTATAGGCTATTGTAGGCTACAAAAGATATATAAAAGGTTAAATGTTTTTAAAAAAAAAACAAGCACAAACGCAATCGCAAAATAAACACCGAATTATCTAGAGCCAAATTTAATGAAATAAAATGTTAAAGATTCAAATGAATTTCGGTTTCATGTTTTCTAACAACTGCATAAGCAATATTTATTTTTTTATTTTATTTGTATCAAATGGCAGGCGATTTGAGGGTTATCATTAGCCCTGGAGCTGACTTCGGGGTTTTACAGAGAGGAGAAGAAACTTCAAAGTGACAAAAAGTCGAGAGGGGGAACAGAAGAGTGATTCACAGATTTAAAAGAGACAGACAGCCAGACACAAAGGCATGAAAAAGGTAAGATGAGTACTTTGGAAGGGGTCGAATATGACATAAAATGGGGTCATGGTAATTTGAAGTCAGAAGTCAACTGCCGATCAATAGACTTTTATGCCGTATGAGCATACGTTGCCCAGGATGCACCACGTGGAGGTAAGTCTATGGCGCACCCCGCATAAGCAATATTGTAAAGTCAATGCTCTAGATTCGAGTCCGGATTGGAGAGAAAGATATACTTAGAGGTCACATTAAATCAATTTCCCGCCATTGTACAAGATGGAAGGGCAATATATATATATATACTATTTAAGTTTAAAGTATTTAAAAACTTCCGAAACGTTGGTGCAGGTGTCCATTCTGAACTCTTCTCTTTCTACGCAGCAGCGGGACACAATAGATCCGCTTTTGAAGGAGAAATAGAGGTCATTAGGATAGCACTATGCCAATTATGTTGCCTGGATACGAAATTCACCAAAGCGGTGATATTTTCGGACTCACAGTCAGCAATAAACTCAATTGGAAGCAGAGAGCCCTCCAAAACAGCTGAGATAAAGGAATGTAGAAAACTCTATGAGCTGCTGAGAGAGAAAAACAAAACAGTGGTCCTACAATGGATTCCTGCTCACTGTGGCATTAAAGGCAATGAGCTTGTTGACACACTTGGTAAGAAGGGGACAACGATTTTGCAATGCATGAACCGGCCGATGTCTTTCCACACAATGAAGACCTTAATCAGAAGAGAATTCCAGACCTCAA